CAATCTGTATTGTTAAAAGCGCTATATAAATAAAGGTGACTTGACTTGACTTGACTTGACTCTCTTTCTGTGTTTTTGCAGGCTTTTACAGGTGCTCTGATTAGATTTGATGGGCCATTTGAATGTGCTGAGTGCAGCCGGGCTCCTCCTGTTTCTGTCTGATAAGAAGCAGAGGTTGCTTTCAGAAGCCGGCATTTCCGCGACATTAGCCCTGCAGCGCTAATGGGCTCCGTCAATGCAACAACAGGTGTATTTCACTACTGCTCTCTCAGAGAGGTGTGGTATCATCTGACCTTGATTTATAAATTGAGAGATAGTGGGATGGAGATGGAGGCATAGTAATGGAGGAAGAGGTGTGTAGACACATTTTAAGCTCCAACGCTGCAACATATTCACTACCATTTGAAGGTTTGGAGTCAGTTTTGATTGATTGATTGGATAAGAAGCAGAGGTTGCTTTCAGAAGCCGGCATTTCCGCGACATTAGCCCTGCAGCGCTAATGGGCTCCGTCAATGCAACAACAGGTGTATTTCACTACTGCTCTCTCAGAGAGGTGTGGTATCATCTGACCTTGATTTATAAATTGAGAGATAGTGGGATGGAGATGGAGGCATAGTAATGGAGGAAGAGGTGTGTAGACACATTTTAAGCTCCAACGCTGCAACATATTCACTAAGTTTTGATTGATTGATTGATTGATTGATTGATTGATTGATTGATTGATTGATTGATTGAGTGAAAGAAATTAACCCTTTTATTCAGCAAGCAAGGATGCATTGATACATGTAATTTAATTACATTGATAAATGTATTTATAAAAATTGATTGATTTCAGAATGATTTCTGAAGGATCATGTGACACTGAACACTGGGGTAATGATGCTGAAATGCTCTTTTTAGAATATATCAAAAGGGAAAATTGTCAATTGTAAAAATATTTCACAACATTACTTTTCTTACTGTATTTTTGATCAAATAAATGCAGCCTTGGTAAGCATAAGATACTTCAAATACTTGAATATAAAGTTTAATATGCAGAGACAGCTATTAACAATTAGCTATTACTGTTGCTGCAAGGCACTATCAAAACATTGTTCTGTTTATTAATAGAGATGGGTGAATATGGAATTGTTGAAATGTCATATGTTGAGAGCACAAGCCTGTAATGCGCAAATGTGAATCTATCAGCTCACATGTGGGTTTCCTTCATCAAAACGTCCTACTCATAGCCATTTCCAAGATACATTTGATTAATATGACATTTAAATATGAAAGTATTTACTTCTTTGTTTTTGTTCTTTGTTCTTTTCCTTTTTCCAGAT